ACCCATTAATTACAAAACAAGGGTGGGTCCTTCTCCTCCTGGTTCCTCTTTTGTGACTTGATCTAAAGGGTTAGATGCTGGTTTGTTACAAAAGTAGATGCAATGTGGATTTCCAAGGACTTGAACAGGGTGGAAGAGATGCCCAATAGGTAGGCCCCTAATCTTACAGAGACTCAGTTTCCTTAGATGAAAAATGGGGATAATACCGATTCCAGGCTACTTCACATGGCTGTTCAAATGATGTTTGTAAAGACCTAGGATAGCCTCAGATAGAAGACTCTGTAAAAGGATTACCCTTATTGTTGATTATCATGTAAATCCAAATAGTTTTATTAAATTCAGTTTCATATCTCTCTTGGAACTACATGACCAGACACTGTCCTTTCTGTATAGTTACTTATATCCATATACTATTTTATATAGTATTTTATATACTACTACGGCGATACTAATCCAGTCAGTTCATATTACATGAAACAAGGACATAGTGCCATATGTTTATGGGTGAGGAATAGAGGCAAAGAGAAGCTGCAGGTCTTGGAGAGCTGTGGCAAGAGCTGGTAATAGAATTAGTTTTTCTGATTTCTAGTCCGGCAACTTAACCACAAGCTAATACTTTGTTTTATTTTTAAATAAATGGTTGGTACTGGCTTATCGAAGTGTAGCATGAACCAAACTGCAGTACCTCCAGGCAAGCACCTTTTTACTGAACATACTTGGAGGGACTTGCTGAATTAATAATGATACTCCAGGTCGTGTCGTAGCCCCTGAGCCATTGCCAGAGTTAAATTGCCATCAGCTAATCGCACTTGGCTGTTCCTGCTCAACCCTGTCCTTTCCAGGTTGACAAAATCAGAATCAGCAAGAAAAGAAAAAATACCTGTTGCTCTAAGTTCATGTTGTGCAGATGTTTGGTGAGTTCGTCCCGTCAGCTAAGCTAGAGACAGCTGTCTTCCCGAGACTTGCAGATTGGCACAGCAATTAGAAATACTCCCTTTTGTCTCTGGCCAAGAAACTGCCCCCTTCTCTGAGACAAGAACCCAGCTTCTCCGTCAACGCTGCTAGCTTCCACATTGCTGGTTATCATGGCCATATAAAGGGTGAAGTTGGTGCCACACTCATCAGCAGCAAGGCCTATGTGTGGCAAAGACCAATGTAAATGCATTTCAGCTCCCTGGACACTTTTTTGTGTTAGATTCCCTGTTCACTTCAAAACAGAAGACCCAAGTCCTGATCTTTCTTTCGCAAACGGGGTCCCAGCTATGTCACACCTTCCCATGGCTAGAGAGAACCAGCAATAGACCCTTAGATGACATAGGGCAAAGTATTGTCAGGGCAGGGTCACAGCTTTGTCTGTATTTGGGGCCCGCTGCCCTGGTACCGTTATTCCAGTGTAGGGTAAGTGCAGCTCTGCTGCAACAGCAGCTTGCAGGAAGTAGACATTATTCTGCACTTACAACACAGGTAGCCCTGGAGGTGTACGTTGGGCCACAGTGATGCCCCAAATGAGCAGGAACTGACCCCTGTTGAATGCCCTTCTCGTGTCCCCACATTAAGCTCTGTTTTGTGACACAGCAGCGAGGAGGTTGAAAATACGTTCCATGTGTTGAAAGAAAATTATAAGCAGATTGAGCCTGAGTGCAGCAGATCCATGAAACTAAATTTGAGCTTTTGATTAAGAGGCAAAGGACTTGTGTGGGGGGGGGGGAATATCAAGTATTTGTGATGAAAAAGCATAGGGAGTTATTCTCCCCGGGAGTGTGGGAGGAGAGAGACCTGCTGTATGAAAGCGCGTGCTGTAAATCAGTGTGTAGAAAAGCAGTACCTGTTGTGAATAAAATCCAAGGAACTGTGGAGAAGTGCACAGCCAAACACACAGAGATTTCCTAGGGAAAGGCAATGTATTCAATCATGTCAATTATGGCGTGGGCTACATTTTCAATGCAGTGAGTCCACGGGATACAAAAGGGCCTTGGGGGAAATATAACAAGACAATCAGTTAATAAAAGACAGATTAAAAAAAACTGCATCTACGTTCTGTGAATGGAGATATAGATTCTTTGCAAAGCATTTACTTGGCTCTTCCATGTTAAGAGAAGTGGAGCCTGGATGAATTTTGTACTGAAAGCACCTTCATCAGGGCTTGGAGCAGTACTCTGTGCTGTGCTGTACTGCCTGTACTCTGCATATATTCATTTTCAGTGTATAGCTCCTGTGGTGCCAACTGGAGAATGTGATTATTTGTGTGCAGGCGTATTCAGATAGAGGGAGCATTCCAGCTTTATGCAAGCAAAGCGACAAGGATGGGAGGGGTGGAGAGGGTTTGGGGCCACATCTCAACCACATCTGGCCTCTTGGCTACCTCTGCTGAGTCGTCTGGCCTTGAGTATCACATAGGTGCCAGATAGGGTTGCCAACTCTGTTTGAAGCCGTTTCAGGAGGTTTCATTGCATGATGCGCCTGTGATATACAACACGAAATGTGCCCATGTGCTTGTGTATATCAGTTATGGATTCTGGTGCGTAGACTTTACATCAGGAAGGCAAATGCACATTACTGTTGCATTTTAAAACCCACTGGACTACTGCATAAATCAGATGCAACATTAAATATTTATTTTAATGAGTGGCCTGTCGTTTATCTCCTGGGTGACTCTCAGTAGTCTCCTGGAGATTTATGTCTAATTCCTGGAGACTCCAGGACAATCCTGGAGGATTGGCAACCCTGATGTCAGAGCTCCTCCACATGTCTGCTGCGGCCAACCTGCCCTCCTGGTGCTTCCTCCTCCCCAAGTCCACTTCCGTGGCAAGCACAGAGCCCTCCGTAGGAAGCACAGAGGACCCTGCGTGGCTGCTCGGGCTACAGACTTCCAACCTGCTGGCAAGAGCTGGAGTGACATCCAGGGCCTATTCCATAGCTCATTGGAGCCGGCAGGAGCCTTTCCACTGGGCTTTGGATCAGGCCACGAGTGGATTTGAGTTCTGTTGCGGAGAGTCGGTGTAGTTCTGATATTTTAATGCAGTGTTTCTCAAACTTTTAAGTAGCTAGTACCCCCAAACTGCTGAAAATTTTAATAAGTACCCCAACACTCAATTTTCCAGGGGATTTTATATTTACGGACTAATGTGTTGGAAGAAGGGCTGTGTATTTAAGGCCGTGATATGACAGATGTCTGATCTGGTGTGGGTATGGTTGCCAACTTTTACATGAGGGGTGCACAACTCAAGTATGTACCTGGGTTAGGGGTGATGAAGGCCAAAGCTAGGAGGGCTGAACCCAGTGACACACCAAATTATTACTGGGGAATTTAAACCGGCGCAACAATTTTTTTGCCATAGTTTTGAGAGGAGGAAGGGGCAAGAGAGGAAAAGAGGGCAAGAGAGAGAGAAAGTGTTGGGGTATCACGCCCCCTGCCTGTGTCTTGCGTACCCCCTGGGGTATGCGTGCCACAGGTTGAGAAGCTATGTTTTAGTGGGTCATTAAGTTTAGTTGTCTAGTCGTCAGCGGGTGGATTGGTCAGTCTAAAGTGCCCCTTTTTTCTCCCAAATGTATTTTCATTTTCCAAGTGGAACACGTTCATTTCCAGGAGCAACGTTCTCTTCCATTCAGGCTCCAAACATTTCTTAGGAAGTGACTTCATTTCATTATTCACACAGATCGTTGCTTGCAGCGGCTGTAACTGAATTACCTAGTGTTCGTATAACGGCAAGCTCCAAGCACATGGACGTTTAATTACTTCAATATTTCATTATTTTCCCTTTATTGGGTTTGTTTTTAAAGAAGTTTTCACTGTGTTATTTATTATATGTTAAGTGGTTCAGCTTGCAGAAAACATATCACATTCATTTTATTTTTTAATTTGTTTGCCCGCTAAAATAGAAAATTTTATTTATCCTGGTGGGGCAGTTAAGGTTTTGTGCTGACAGGTTTACGATTCCAATTACTCAGAAAGGTCTTTCCTCTTTTGTTTCACCCAGGGCTCCTTTACAGAATTGTAACGTGCCCCACTCTTTTTCAGATGCGTGTCTGAGCACACTGCTATTTCTGGAAGAGCAGAGGAAAAGTGCAATATAGTAAAAGGAGAATATGGAAATAGTTGCGTTTTACTTTCTTCTTTGAATCATGGAGCCCTTTTCTAGTCTCATCGGATGAATAACTCATTTCATCATCGTTGGTCTTTCATGAATAACTCTGTTCTATTAATGTCAGTCTGAGGTCATACTTATATAACCGTTTTGTTCCTAAGGCTTGATATATGAATGGGTATGAGTGGGTTACGTGATGGAGGCCCTGAAAGAATTTCAGACCGGCCCCCCTCAAATGCCTTAGCAGTGTAATGAATTCAGCTGCTGTACATACCAGAAAGAAAAATACTGTATAAATCCCATACCTATCCGTGTAGAGGAAGAGGAATAGATCATTATCCTGAGCTACATACCTCTACTCCTTAGGAGTGTCCTAGGTGCTAGTGATTGTAGGAACCTCATAATCTCCCTGGGCCAACCACCAGCAGGCTATGTCAGACTCAAAATTCAGCGTAGGAAGGCGCCATCGAAATACTGAACTTACCCTACAGGCAGCCAAGCCAAGAACGCCTGATGAAGGAGAAAGAGCTGTAACTTTCCCATTCTAGCTCTGGTGAACCTTGCCCATGGCTTTTTCCTTGGCCACTGTATTAGATCAGTGAACTAGATGGACAGTTGCTCTGTTATATCTTTTGTTTTTACTTCCTAATTATAACCTTATATTTTCAGCCACTTTTTGATGCCCGTAGGGTAAGTTACTATTAAAAAAAGAAATAACTTGACCAGACTCTATGCTGTGGGAAGATCCAAAATCCTAAAATTTATGAGATTCCAACCGCCCCCCCTTGTTATCTGTGTTTACCCTGAGCACTTGGCAGTATATGAACTAAATCTGTCTCGGTACAGCCTTTAATTGGCTATCTTCAGAGAGAGAAATAAAGCATGTCTTCACATGTATCCCATGATGTTTTCCAGTGTGTCCGGGGGTGAGCTTTTTGACCGGATAGTAGAAAAAGGATTTTACACGGAGAAAGATGCTAGCACTCTGATACGGCAGGTCCTGGATGCTGTATACTATCTGCACAGAATGGGCATCGTGCACAGAGATCTCAAGGTAAGGCTGCTCATTGTCTTCTACCTCCAGAAAGCATGTGATGTGGTCCCAGGTACATGACACCTAAGTGACTTGATTCAGTAGAAGTTGGTGTGTGAATAGGGATTTATTTGGTGAATGAGGCTTTATAATGGAGAAAATCCTGTATAATCCATATTCTCCTGGACCTGAACAGTTGTGCTGTTTTACTTGGTGTCTTCTCACATTAAGGGCCTGATCCTGCCTTCCCCAGCATGAAAGGGCAGTAGGATTACTGTGCCTGTGATCTAGGGAAAACTGACATCCCTTACCTTAAGAATATGCCTCTTCTGGACAAAGATAGATCTTTTTCTTGCCATAAAGTACCTTGTGCATATATAATGCTATATTCAATTTTATAGACAATTAGTAATTAAGATGGATTACTTATTTGGAAATGTTTAATGAGTCTCTGTCAGCCCCCCTGTCAAATAATTCAATTTGACCAATGTTTTTGTAAATGCTTCCTGTGCAGACTGTAATTCTTCTGAGGAGCACAATGTAATCATAAGATTTTTAGATTATTCTTCATTTCTGGCTGTGCCTGTGTGTCGCATCAGATTCTTTCACTTAGTCCATTCAAGTAATAGCATTATTTCTGCATGCTTTTGTCCATCCATTTTGAATACTGCCACTGAGCTGATAAGCAGATTTGTCTGGGACAGGTATTTCTGTGTTTCATGGAGTGTCCAACTGAAGAAAACCAGCGTATATAAACCCTGGGTATCCTGAGTAACAAAATAGCAGAAGTCATGTGTTTAATTGACACAGCAACAGAGAGAGAGAGAGAGAGAGAGAGAGTGTGTGTGTGTGTGTCTACATAAAATTGAATGTTTGGGGTACGTACTTGGAATGCTATTACCAGTAGTGTTCAGTGCAATACACTGAAAATACTGTAAGTAAAATGAACAAGAGTAATATATTCCAAATGTTTGAAAATTAAGATAGTGTAATATTAAGTTGGGACCATTAAATTATTATTTATATAGGATAAAAGTTAAAGACTAGCACTGATGTAGTTTGCACAAAATAGAGACCTATAGCAGTGAAAGAACAGTTAATATACTGAGTTAGAGCCCATGTAATATAAATCCAGCCCCTGGCTCTTTTTGGCATTCTGGATAAATCATTTAATTTTTCTGGGGGCATCTACACAAGACGCTGACTGCGCAGTAGCCAAAAAATACAGTACAGTAGCATGTCACAGCACGGACAGTGCTAATACACTACTGTGCAGTATTATTAGGCTACAGTGCAGTAGCATCACTTAAAAGACATTTGCCAGCACTACTGTGCAGTAACTCCAGTTACCATGAATTTATTTCGTGCTTGCTAATACAAGTACTAAATAAATGTGTAGCAATGACTGCACAGTAGCGTCTCATGTAGACATGTCCTCTGTGTCTCGGTTCTACACCTGTATTATGGGAGTAAGAGTTCCCAGGGCTGGGCTGATGCTTGGAGTGCATTGCTACTAAACCAGTGGGTATGTGCATGTGAGCACTTAGATAGAAAGAGAACAACCTCTCCATTTTGAGCTAATCTTTACCTGGCCAGTCAGAGTGTAAGACCCAAACTGTTTTTGAAAGGTTGAAGGATTTATTTGGATATCAGAAGATTTTGAGGGAAAGTATTCCTGGTAGGTTCCAGCATTGCCTTCCTAGGCCACAAAAGCACAGTTTAACGGAAATGAAGCCAAGATGAATCATGCCAGCTTTAATTGGTATCAACAGTGAGTTTAATGTTGTTCATTTTATTTCTTATTCCAGTCTTGCACAACAAGCTGGCTTTTATATTGTATTGTTGTGAAGATGGTATGGATTGTTTTGTCTTAAACTTGCTTAAAACTTGGAGTGCTTAGCACTGTTTATTTTCTCATCTGGGTTTGGCCTTGATTCACAGTCCCAGCTGGGGAAAATAAGTAAATACAGACGTGTCCTACAACCTGGTGTGAACAGCCAGAACAGAGAACATTTATCATTTTAAAACTTGGCATCAGAAGATCCAGTTTAGCCTAGAAGACTGCAGAGGAGCAGCTCTTTGTCTTACAGGTTCACCCTGCTTTGGATTAGGACAGGCTTGTCCAACATACGGCCCGTTGGCTGCCAAGCCGTTTTCTGCGGCCCGCGGTGCTGCGATGGGAAATGAAAGTAAACGCTGTTTACTTTCGTTCCCACCTCTTGTCCCTCCCCCAGACCCTCAGCAGCTTCCTAATGGCTGCTGAAGGGCTGGGGAAGGGACAAGGTTCCCACACACACCGCATCAGCTTGACATGGCCGACGCGGTGCATGTGGGAAGAGGAGTAGCCGTGTGCCGCTCGGGACAGGATGAGCCCAGCCGGAGCAGCAGGGGCTCAGCTGCGCTTTCCCCCTACCTGTGCTGGTCAGTCCCGAGCGGCACTCGCCTCTGCCGCCACTTCTGCTGGCCGGTGCTGACCCAGGAGGGTCTGTCCCTCTGGAGCAGCATGCGGCTGAAGCTGGCTTCCCACGTGCTGCTGGGGACGGGAGGAGCCCGCGGGTCGGCACTGGCCAGCGGAGGCGGAGCTGTGGCTGGGTGGGGGCCAGGCTCCCTAGATCTGAGACCTGATGTAGGCTATGGCACAGAGACTCACTCTGGAACAACGTGCTAATAAACTTGTGCTGTACCTGCCAGGAGCCCAAGTAGCAGGTGGTTGATACCTGGTAAGCTCAAGTGAGTAAAGACTGCTTATTGTTTTCTGTGTGGCCTTCAAAATGTTTTTATCATACTAAAATATGCCATGCTTTGTGAGAGTCGTTGCCTCTGTATGAGAAAGCAGAATCATAGCCACTGAACTACATTCATGCCCCGTGGGAATAATCACAATTCAGCAAAATGGGCGGGAAGGAAAAGCCAGAGGTCTAAGTGTGCACCCTAAAAGAGGCCATGAAAGAGTCGGAAGCACAACCTTAAACTAGGACAGCTATCCAGTGACGGCAGTCCAGTAGGCATGATGGGAATCCTCATGAGATTTAGGAAAGCAAGAGGGCATGAGAGCAACATGTAGGCAGAGACAGTGCAGGGCCTTGGAGACCTATTAATAAATGAGGACAACTCTGTTCCCACTCTGGTCAGTGACTAATTGTGGGTACATCTTCACTAGCTTCAAGCCACTCAAACCTGCTGCCAAAAAATAAGCCCATCCTACCCACTTACACTGTCCCTGCTCTGAACTGGAAATGAGGCAGTGAGGGCCCTTCTAGGGTGGTCCAAGGACAGTAGAAGCAGATCACACATGGAGAGTGAGAGATGTTCCCAGAATGTCTTCACCACCACATTTCTTCTGAAAAGCAGGGATATCCTGAGGTTCATTTAATGTTTGTAAAATGCTTGGAGAGCCCCACATAGATGCACTGCATAGAAATGCAAAATATATTTTGACTTATTTGGTTGGCACCTTGGGCTGAGATTTTCAAAGCTGAGTCAAAAGGCCAACTTCCATTAAAATGAATGGGATGTAGAGGGCTCCAAATCTTTTATGACAACTTCGTAACGTGCCTATCTACCCCTTTTTGCAAATCTCTGCCACAATTTGGAAGCTCAGCCAAAGAACATGAGAGCTTCTGAACATAAGAGCATAAAAAGTGCCATGCTTGGTCAGCCCCATGGTCATCTAGCTCAGTATCCTGTCCCAAACAGTGGCAGAGGTGGATGTTATAGAGGGAGAGTTTTGAACTGGTTAGACCCATTTCATTGTCACTTCCTGCAACTTCATTGGTGTCAAAGATCACATGACATCACTTCTTGATGTGATACCACTTCCTGTGAGGTCTCTGAATATGGCTCGCCAGCCCACTGGGTGATAAAAAGTTCCTGATCCAGCCCCACATTCAAAAAAGTTGGACACCCCTGGATTAGGAGCAATGCATGTTTGGTTTCAGCTGTTCATTGGTTCTGAGTTTGTACCTTCAAATATTCATAAACTTTAACAGTTCTGCTTACCAGTCTCCAAGCACAGAGTGGGACCATGTGTTTCTTCAAATCTTCCTGCTAAGTAATGTCCCTCCACCATAAAACCCTTTACCAGGACTCTGAGTCATCCAGTCCCCATTTGGGGATAATCAGAGAATACAATCATAGCAGAATAAAATAGTGGAATAGCAAAAGACATGTTGGATCTTCTAGTCCAAGGCAGGTTTGCTCCTTAAAGCACGTGACTAGAATGGGATCCTGGCTCTGCGGAAACTGATAGCAACATTAACATTGGGGATGTCTGAATCGAGCCGTCGGCTGGGGTGTGGAGGGGCTAGGGGGGAAGAAAAGAGGGAAAGTAACCCTGCATGTGTTGGATAGGGGGCAGTGCAGTGAGCCCGTGGGGCACCCTGTCTGCTGGCCCTGTTTTTTTGCTTAAGACCCACACCCCATCCAGTACCTAATTGTCAGAGGAAAGTGCATGTTGTGTACAAGGAAATATGGTAAAGGGGTTCCCCGCAATTTTCTGGGAAGACATTTACTCACTCTCATACGTGTAGAATAAACTCCTTCCAGAGGTAGTGCAATCACCTACCCTGGAGGTTTTGAAGAGGAGACTGGACGGTCACCTCGCTGGGGTCACTTGACCCCACTTGTCTTTCCTGCCTAGTGCAGGGGGCTGGACCCGATGATCTGCAAGGTCCTTCCCGGCCCCTAACATCTATGAATCTCCAAATTTCCAATATCTTTTATTCCATTCTGTCAGTCCCAAGTATGTAGCTACACCTGTCTTGCTCATCATCATTTTGTGTCACTTCAGTATACAAATTGGTTGTTTAGTATCTGTTTTACTTAAGCAGCCTTTCCCAAACTAATTTAATTTGTAAGAAATAACTATAGACTTTTTTTTCTGACTGAAAGCTCTGAGAAGCAGGCCCAAGTCATGTTGTTTCAGACACCACACCGGCTAAGCTGTTAACATTTCTACACTTAGTATTTAAAGGAATGCCTTAGCTGTGATTTTAGAACAAGTTAATCTTATTAGCAACATG